CTCTTATTTAAAATATAATTTTTCATCAAAACAAGGAATGAATTGACACCTATTAATAATAAATCACTTTTTCTTTTTCATTTTTTTTTTAATGTATGTCAAGGATGCCATGATGGCCCATATACACATGTTGATAGTGAAACTGTAGGAAGAGGAAAAGGGACTTTTTAAAAAAAAGAAAGAAAAAGGTTAGCAACGTGGCGAAATAAGTACCGTCTTTAGAGGATGAGTGCCCAGGGACTGGGCCGTTGATCATGAAGCAAAAGTCGGAATACTAACCGCTATTGATGATATACTACTTACTAGGTAGTGTGGCGTTTCCGTTGATGATTATCAAAATCAGGTCCCAGAAATAACGACGGTCATGATGGCGCCGTTCGCTGGGAAGCTAGATTTGCTGCAAAAGGTACCATAGGTAGAAATTAAAGGACATCCATTGATCGTGTGACGCAGCCCTATGAACATTGATGAACCGCCGAAAGATAATAAATTATTATTTGATACAATGTGACGCTTTTGACTCTATATTGGAACATTTTCGGGTCTTGCAGCTGGGACGAAATAAAATTGCAAAATATAAAATCATCAAATTAGGAGGATTTGTTCTTGAACTTGGAAAGTGTGGGCGAAATTGACTATAACTAAATTTGACCAAAATTATAAGCAACGGGAGATTTATTGGGTTTTCAGTTTTTTTTTTTTTTTAAATAGAAAATGAATCAAATCTATTCTAATTGGTTTAGTTTTTAGCTATTAAATTTAAAAATTAAAAATTTAGTGAATATAACTGAAAAAGTTAATCCAAAACCTTTTAAAGGTATTTTTTAATTGTTTCTAAATTAATTTTAGGCCATTTCATCATGTCCCACTAAATTACTTCCTTGTTTGTATAATTTTATTTTTTTAATAATTGAAATTAAAAACAAATAGTAACAATTAAAAATTTAAAAATCTTGTTTTCCAATTTGATATAATTTAAATTATAGTTAGAAATCGTTAAATGTGGAGAAAAATCCTAATATCAAAAAATTTAAAGTTTATTTAATAATTAATATAATATCATTTAGTAAAATTTAAATTACATTATATTTTTTATAAAATTTTTATAAACTATAAAAAATTTTGAAAATAAATTTTTTTTGTTAAAATTAAACTCAAACCAAATGATTTTTTTGAAAACTTTAATCGAAATTGAAAATTTTAATTTGGTTAATAATTTAGAAAGTCCATATCAAAAATATGATTTTGGTTACAGTCAAAATGAGATGACACCTACACTTATTACATTGATTTATCTCTTATAATTTAATGCAATTTAAATCACACAATACTCTATTATTATTATTATTTTTTGTTGATAAGCACAATACTCTATTATGGTGCACTATAGAAGCTTTTTCGGAAATGATCACACGATGGATGGATATGGGTACATATACCATATACACTATGAATTACCATCAGGGATGTTGATGGATGGCGGAACATGTTAGCATCATAGTTAGTGAATGTGGGGCCAGGGAAGATTTTAATTGCACACTAAAACGGTTTGGAAAATGATTGGGGTGTAAAGAGAAGTGGACACGTTATTTATAATAATGGCATAAAAACCGTTGGAAACTTATTTGTTACCATACCATTAATACTTTCGAAATTAATCTTAAAAAAAAAATTAAGGTAATATTTTTTTATTTTAATTATATAATAAAAAATATTTATTTTTTATTTTTTATTTTATTTTATCTACAGTAATTTGAATTTAAAATCTTTTATTTTCAGTGAAAAAAGATGATCAATAAATTATTTAAATAATTATTAAACTATTTAGATCATTAACAAAATTAAAGCAATATTAAAAGAAAAGGTAATGCATTATTTGAAGGCTAAAACACAAAATAAAAAAAAAATAAAGGGTTAGCAAAATTAAAGCAACATTAAAAGAAAAGGTAATGCATCATTTGAAGGCTAAAACACAAAATAAAAAAAATAAAGGGTAAAAGGCGGAAAAAACTCCAATAAAAAAAAGGGGAGCATAAGTCAAAGAGAAGTGAAATGAAGTTTCGTGAATTTGACGGTTGTAATATTTTGAAAGCTTAATAAACATTCAATAGGGAGAAACACGACGTTCTAAAATATCATTTTTGGTTTAGTGGAGTTGTTGTGTGATGAATTTGAATGACGACCTTGACATTCCACGTCTGTGTCTTGGGGAGCTAATTTACTATATGTAAGAGTGTTAGTCAATTAAGTAATGTAATAGTGTGTAAGATATTGTTGACAGCGATTATAGATTAATTAAGTATTAAATTAATAAATTTTAATTTTGTTTGAACGAAGATAAATTAATTAATTAAATAAACTAATTAATTAAAAAATCCAATAAACTGAATTGTAACCAAGGTATAAAGTTTGAGGATCCAAGTATACAGAAACCAAAAGTTGAAGAGAAGGTGGTTCTTCAGCAATTAGTTTCTGTGTACTTATCCCTAAACTTCAGAAGGGTTTACACTTAAGTTTCAAAACTTCTGTTTTTTTTTTATTCCAATTTTTTCTGCACAGAGAATAAAAATCGTTCAATAAAATAAAATAAAACCACATTAAACATATCTAAATATCAATAAAATCAAGACTAAATAGTAAACTAAAAAAATATGAAATTACATCTTATCATGATCTCTCTATCTTTTAAAAAAAATTAATTTAGGCATTTATATAATTTTAGATTAATTAAAAAGAATGCTACCATTATTATTATTATTTAGTACATATTATTACTTTCTCTAACTTTTTTTTTTTTGACATTTTGCTTGTGAGGTAGTCATGTCACGTAACACTTATGTGATTGGTTAGATTTTTAATTAATTTAATAACCAATCGTCTAAATGTTATATGCAAAAAGTGACATTTCACGTATACATTCACTACCCCTATGATAAATATTTTTCTAACATTAATTCACGTAACTAGTGCCAGATGACAAGTAGTTAAGCTATTTCTCTATGCATGATATTTCAGTTCAGTTATTTAGATTTTATTTTTTCGACTCAGCAAGTTTCAATATGTGTATGTGATTGAAAGGCTAGTGGACACATATCATAGAAAAACACAAAGAAGCAACAAGAAAGAAATAACTAGAATCAATGGATTAGTTTAGGAAACACGAGATTTTACTGCTGGCACCATGTCATCGGGTTACGTGACATACATTACTCTTTCTTCTCTTTAGTATATTTGTTAGGTAAACACATTCACCGGCATCTTCTTTTTTTATATTTTTGTAGTTTGTAATCATTAATATTAATTTATTCGATCACGTATGTTGTTAGTTTGCAATGATGGAATATTAATTGTCCTCTCTCTCTAATCTCCATACATATATTGTAATTTTCTAATCTTGATTACTAATAATATTTTATGTAGCGTTCACACATAGAAATAATCATTAAATTAAATTAAATTTTAAAATATAGGGACATAATTATCATTACGTATACTTAGTAAGTAGGTGGGCATGTATGTATATTATATTTTGCTTAAGAGAAAAGCTAACTAATAATCAAACTCTTAAGTAGAAAATTAATTTAAAGACATAAAGTAATGAATCTAACAATGATATACACAATGAAAATGATGCAATTGAGAATGACACTAGTTGACCCTTTCAAAATGTTTATATAGTAATGCATGTTATTACTTATTAGTAATTATGTATGTGATATTGAGATATGTTATTGCACATGATTTTTTTTTAGAATATGATGGATGTATCATGTTTGATGATTAATGCATGAATAACTTTAATTTTTTACTAGTAGTTAGGCAGCTACATGGATATTGTTAAAAAATTAAAAGAAGCTCAAATAAATACTTTTAAAAAGGCTAAATTCCTTGAGATGATAGCTAGTCAAATATGGTTATAGAATATATTGCATGATTTATACTTTGATACATGCACATATACAAATCTATTGGGATTTGGGAGTTTAATAAAGTGGCAATTAGACTAATAAGCAAAGATTTGAGATTCTTGGCATTCAATTAGTGACCTTATAATAATTCTAATTTAATCCCTACTATGATCAATCTACTCTAATCCAAAGAATCCACCAATCCTTTGAGTCG